TGCCTGTTTGTATGCTGTGTATTCTTTGTCATTTAATATTAAGCCTATCTGAAATGTGATGATAGACTATAACTCAAATTTTCAACCTGGCACATTGTGTTCTTATACAGCTATTGGCCCACATTTTGTGGTTATATTGACAGTAAAACAATTATTAGCATTTGCAATTACAGCTAGGAAATTGACAACTCTGTAACATTAAATGCGAAAGTCCAGAGATTGCTAACGACGATTCCCTACTCCTCTATAGGATCTACTGTTGAAGTCCTATGAATAAAAGACACCTGGAAATCATCTGAATTGATGTGAACATGTCATTTTACATGTTTAGTCTGTCTGTAAGAACCCTTGAAAAATTAATATTTTATCTAAATCTAGTTACACCATAAGTGTAATTTAACCATATTAACCACTTTGGGTAAATTTGGTTAATTACACTTTTGGTGTAACTGGATTCTTAATATTCTATTAAGTTTGCAATTATTGCTAAATGATTTGACCCTAAAAATAAATTATGCAATATCAAATGTCTCCATTACAATAGATTTGATAGATTCCATAGACTTTTTAAAAAATGAAAAAAATTACATTTGTTAAGGTATTTCAGCTTTTATCTTAATTCCAGTGTGTGCACCGATCCTTATTTCACTGTCTTTAAAATGATTAAACAGTCAAAGATAATCAGTAGCTTTTACTTTCTGATTTACTGTAAGAATTCTTCAATGTGGATGGCTGCTTGGCCTAGTTGAAGACAATATTGCAACTGGATAAAAAAAGTGAATGCAGTCACTGCTGGGAAAGATGAAATCTACACCACAGAGATCATTAAATCTTTGTGGACCACTTTTCTTGAGGTGGGCATTGAAAATCATCATTACCACTGACCACAAAATCTGGGTAATTATATATAATGTAAAATAACATGGAAAAGACAATACTAAATTAAGTTGTAGGACTAAGTCAAGGAGATTTGGGTTCAAATGAGTTAAAGGTAAATTTTGCATTAGCAACATGAGGTTTTGCTATGTAGAGTAATGGACACTTGGAATGGAATTCCAGATAGAATCAAGAAGCTAAAAACCCTGCATGCATTTCAGAAATAATTAATAGTGGTTTAATATGGGAGGAAACCATAAGGCATTTCTGAATGGATGTATTCATCTGTTATTATTATAATTTTGAGCTTGTAGGAAAAATTCCCTGAGATCATAAACAAGTTTTATGCATCCAGAACCTGGGAATACCACTTTATTTCATTTGTTCATGTGATGTGAACAAAACCAGTATCTATTGCCCATCCCTATTGGTTATTAAGAGGGTAGTGATGAACCACCTTCTTGAACTGTTGTGTTGTGTAAGCATGTCTATGTTGCTGTAAGGGAATGAAAGAACAACTGTGTAGTTCCAAGTAGGATGATGTGTAACTTGCAGGCAGTGTGTTTTCATGTGTCTGCTACCCCTTTTGTTCTAGCTGGTACTAATCGTGGATTTGTAAGGAGCTATCAAAGGACCCTTGACAAGTTGTTGTAATGGATCTTGTAGACAGTGCACCGTAGGTGAGAGAATAAATGTTTAAAGTGGCAAATGGGATACCATTAAATGGGTTATTTTGTTCTGGATAATGTCAAGCTTCTTGATTCTTAATGATTATCATCAAGGTAAGAGGAGAATATTCCATTACACTCCTCCCATGTGACTAATCAATGATGGAAAGGCTTTGGGAAATCAGAAGTTATCCTGAGTAATCTGAGTTACTCATCAGAGAACACTCAGCTTCTAACCTGCACTTGTAGTCATAGTATTTATGTGACTAATCCAGTTGAGCTTCTGATCAAAACTGACCACAGGATGCTGATGGTAGTGTAATTCCGTGGTGGTATTCTCAGTGAATATCTAGGGAAGGTGATTTGACCCTCTTTTGTTAGAGATCATACATTAACTGGCATTTGTTGGCACAAATCCGACTTGTTGCTTATCAGTACAAGACATTTTTCTATTCATTCTTGAGATCTGAACATCCCTGGCATTTGTTTTTTGACATCATTTATTAATTATCTATAAGGAGCTTTGAGCATGTCGTGATGAACCATCTTATTGAACCACTACAGTCTCCACAGCTGTTAGGAAGGAAATTCCAAGATTTTAACACAATGACTGTGACCAAATATAAGTCACAATTATGTCCAATTATTGTTGTCCCAGTCTTGTTTAAAGGGGCAATGGACTGCTTCATTATTTGAGAAGGTGTGAATGGAATGAGGACTCTGCAACTCCCAGCAAACATTTGCACTTTTGTCCTTTGTTGAAACAGCTGAAGGTGGTCAGGCCAAGAATACCACCTTGAGGATATCCTGGAGCTGAGGTGATTGATCTCCATCTTCTATTTGGCTAAGCATGATTCCAGCCAGTGGAAGGTATTTCCCCCCCAATTTTTATTGACTTCAGTTTTGCTAGAGCTCCTGAATGACACAGTCAAACATATCAATACAGGGAGAGGATGGTCTAGTGGTATTATGGCTGGACTGTTCATCCAGAGACCAAGATAATGTTCTGGGGACCCAGGTTCGAATCCTGCTATGGCAGATGGTGGAACTTGAACTCAATAAATATCTGGAATTAAGAATCTAATGATGACCTTGCATCCATTGTCAATTGTCGGAAAAACCCATCCGGTTCACTAATGTCCTTTAGGGAAGGAAACTGCCGTCCTTACCTGGTCTGGCCTACATGTGAATCTAGACCCATAGCAATGTGGTTGGCTCCTAACTGCCCTCTGGGAAATTAGGGATGGGCAATAAATGCTGCCTAGCCAGGGATGCCCTCATCCCGTGAATGAATAAAGTAAAAAAGAAATGCTTGATGTCAAGGCAATATCTTTCACCTCATCTCTGGAATTCTTTTGTCCATGTTTAGACAAGGCTGTAATGAGATCAGGGGCTGCCCTGATCTTGGTGGAGTTCAATCTAAGCAATTGATTTATTCACCATCTTCATATCCACATTGAAGCATCTTGACTTCCCGCATATGCTATACACAGTGTTTCAAGAAACAAAGAAGCGGATAAATTCTGAACAAGGAGCCAATTTTGGGGCTCAAAAAAACTCAAACCTGTTTTGTTTTTTCCACTCAATGGACAGTGTCTGCGTCCCTTTACAGCATTTCTGCTTAAGCCATGGAAATGGCAATTGGAGTCAGAACTGCAGTTTGAGGCTTTTACAAAAAACTTGGATTACCAGCAAAATGAGGGGCTGTGTTACAGGAAGAAGAAAAACGGGAAAGGTAAATATGAACCACTGCAGTTTGTGGTTGTAACTTGGAACATAAGCATGCAACCACATTCACTAATCAATGAACCTATTAAATCATGCCACATGGCTCTGTCTAGATTTGCTTCTGCAACTGATTTAGTTTCCTATATTTGGAGCCTCAGAATCACACAAGTGTAATGACACAGAAGAGGCTATTTGGTCCATTGTGCCTGCAATGGTTCATTAAATGAGCATCATTACCTAGTGCCGATCTTCACTTTTCTCCCCATCCCCTTGCACATTATTTAGATCCAAATAATTATCCATTGTTGTCCTGAATACCTCAATTGTACCTGCCTCTACCACACTTCCCAGCAGTTCATTCAAGATCCTACCTTTTTTCTTCACTTCACCCTTGCTTCTTTTGCAGATCACTTTAAATTTAGTTAAATTAGTTAAATTTAGTTCTGAGGAAGGGTCACCAGACCCGAAACGTTAACTCTGTTTTCTCCTTCACAGATGCTGCCAGACCTGCTGAGCTTCTCCAGCAACTTTGTTTTTGTTCCTGATTTACAGCATCTGCAGTTCTTTTGGTTTTTAAATTTATTTCCTCTTGTTCTTATTTCCCTTTCTAATTTATCTAGCCTGCTCATGATTTTGAAAACAACTATCAGCTCTCCTTTCAGTCTTCTTCTATTCAAGGAGAACAGTTCCAACTTTTCAATCTATCCTTATAACTGAAGTTCCTCATCCCTAGATGCTTCTAAGTAGTTTCTGCACTCTCTCTGATACGTTTGCATCCTTCCTGCAATATGACACCCAGAACTGAGATCTAGCAAATGTCTTATACAAGTTCAACATAATCTCCTTGCTCTTGTAATCTGTGCACCTATTAATGAAGTTGAGGATACTGAATGCTTTAGTTAATGTTCTCTCTACCTGTCCTGCCATATCTAATGATCTGTGCACATTTATTGTAAGGTCCCTCTGCTCTTGCAAACCCCTTTAGAATTGTACCCCCCAATGTTTGATTGTAATTTTCATTTACTGTCTCATGAATTTGTGTTGGTGAGTAAAGAAATTGTTTGATATTACAATTTCTATCTTGGTCTTTATGTATTTTTGTTTTAAGTTTGACCTCTTTTTCCCCACATTTCTATTTATGTCAGTGTCCAAGTCCAATTCCTTCATTTAAGGTACAATCAAAAACAAAATCAGTTCAAGGATCAGATAGATCCTCTTTTTTTTTGTCTGTTACTCTGTCTACTGTTTCATGCTGTTGTGTCTAGGAGTCACTCTAATGAAATATTTGTAATTGGTGAAATTTCATGGATGTTCATAACCTATGTCAAACTTCCTTTTCACAGCCAATCTGCCCTGACTATGGTATAATTGAGAGCATGATTCACATATGAGGTCATTCTTTTGTGATTATTATACATAATTATTTAGAAGAAAAGCTTGTAACACTATTATCACAAGGAAGTGAAATAAGAGATAAATCTATATGTGTTAGTGAGAGCTGACAAAAGGCAGGGACAACTTAGACTAATGCCAGGAAAGGATTACATTTGTTACTCATATTGTGACACTGCTATGATGTTTGAATATGAGCTGGAATTATAGTAATATTAACAAGAGTTTTAAAGCCTGTATTTACTTCCAGATTCTCTTAAAGAGCCATTCAGTTCTCATGCATGAGTACAAACAGCACAAATAGTTCCTGAAATACTAAAAGCATATACTACTAACCTTTGTACAGAAAGCTCTCCAGCCAGAGTTTCAATCCACCCATGTGACAGTCACATATCCATTGATTTTTCTGGAACAAAAGTATTTGTAGATTTGACAGTGAATCCAGAAGGGCAGTGTCTAGTTGATGAAGTTGGTTTTGATGCACGCCAAGCCAGAACAGATTCTTCTGGTTCTTGAACAAACCCTCAGGCAAACTTGTAAGATTGTTAAATGACAAATCCAGTTGCTCGAGATTTTGGGTTTCACGAAGAATTTTATTGTCCATATAGTTGATGGAGTTATTTGCAAGATTCAGTTTGAGAAGATTATGCAATCCATCAAATGTATTTGATGATAAACTTGAAATAATGTTATTTGACAAGTCTAATACCTGCAGTTGAGGCATATCAGTAAAAGTAGCATTTGATATTGTGTGAATATGGTTGTTTTGTAAGTATAGGATTTCTGTGTCAGGAGGAACACCTTTTGGAATCTCTGAGAGTCCATTACCTGTGCAGCTCACTTCTTTCAGTGTAATGTTGCATAGACATCTCTCTGGACATCCAATAACTGAGTCTACTAATAAGAGACCAAGAATTCCGAAAGTGATTTCACCTGTAACCAACGTAAACAAACAGTTATCTACAAGTACGACTACTGTTGAGTTAATTGCTGCCTGTGATGAGCAATACTTTTCATCCCGGAGCAAAATCAGACTAAAATTCCATTATAATTGCAGTATTCGTAACCAGCACTATAAATTAGTGCATGATTCTCCTTGTTCCTCTGGCATCACATTAACTATGACACAAGTTTCCAGCAATTTAAGACTCATTTTGGAAATGTAAAATTGGGGTGGTACAAAATAAATGGCAATCCTGTCAAATTCAGTCTACTTCTTAGATTTATAGAACTTGCACTGTAAATTTCTAGTTTGAAAGTGCATTAGAATCTTCCTATATTTTCACTGATTGGTAAAGTAACTGAATTTAAAAATGCGCTTAACAGAATATTTAACAGACCGGCATGGTGGCTCAGTGGTAAGTACTACTTCCTCACAGTACCATGGACCCGGGTCCAATCCCACCCTTGGGCAACTGTGTGGAGTTGGCACATTCTCCCTTTGTCAAGTAGGTTTCCTCAAGGTGCTCTGGTTTCCTCCCACAGTCCAAAGGTGTGCTGGTTAGGTGGATTGGCCGTATTGAATTTCCCATAGTTTCCAGCAAAGTGCAAGCTAGGTGGGTTAACCATGGTAAATGCAGGGTTACAGGGATGGGGTGGGTCTGGGTGGGATGCTTTTTGGAGGGTTGGTGTGGACTAAATGGGCCAAGTGGCCTGCTTCCACACTGTTTGAATTCTGTGATATTCAAAGAGTTTTGGAGTCCAGGCACTTTCTTATTAGATTCTTATACAAGCGATCATGTCAAGATTAGATTATTAATATGATTTGCACCTGCAACCTCCACATTGTGGCATGTTATTCATAATTTCCCATCCATTTATATTAATTGACAGAAAACTGTTGTCAGCATACTCACAAATATCTGATTGGCACTAGTGGTCTACGAGATCTTTCTGAGGTGCAGGGTGATACATATTATATCCCTTTGTTCTGTGATTTTACAATAAATTTAGACTTTAATGACAAGTTTAATTGTTGTTATTTTGATGTGCTTTACTTTCTATGTTATCTAAAATTTAATCTTTGTTATCAATTTATTTACCTTACTTTCTTTAAGCTTAAAGCTAACTTACACATCCCTTTAATAACTTCGCCCCACTGCCAAATTATATTCTATTTCAAATAAAAGGGGTTCTTACTAACCCATTTCTGAAAATTCTGTTTGTTTCTCTGTAAATTGGTTGCAAAGAGGTACGTGACAATAATCTGAACTGCCTTGAAATTTCTGACTTGCACCTGTAACTGTCTCCCATTTTGTTTCATTAATACTGTAATGCAGATGGTGTATATGTGTTCAACATAGCAAACTGAATTTTGTGACAGAGCTAGAGGTGGGAAGAGGGATAATGGCTGGGAAATTCAGAGAGTTGCACTTTGGGAAGGCTTCCCATTACTACCCTACTTCCAGGGGAATTTTCCGGGATGGGATTCTACAGGAATCAGAGTTCTCCATCATTTTCACTCTGTTGGACCAGTCACCAGCTGAATCTAGAGAATAGCAGCACCTTGCGGTGGCCTCCCAACATTCGGTCAGAGGACCAAAATTGTCTCCTCACTGAACCAACGAATGATCCATTAGTCTGAAAAGGCTGGAAATGTGGCCAATACCATTTCTGTAGAGATAGTAGGAACTGCCAATGCTGGAGTCTGAGATAACAAGATGTGGAGCTGGATGAACACAGCAGGCTAGGCAGCATCAGAGGAGCAGGAAAGCTGATGTTTCGGGTCTGAAGAAGGGTCCAGACCCGAAAAGTCAGCTTTCCTGTTCCTCTGATGCTGCCTGGCCTGCTGTGTTCATCCAGCTCCACACCTTGTTACCATTTCTGTAGAACATTTTCCCTTCCACATTGATGGCACTAATAAAGGTTGGCCATCTTTTAGTTTTAAAATTCCCTTGATGACAAGCAATAACTCAGAACTGCACATGGGCCCAATATTGGGTTCCCACTGTTGTAGTAAAGTTCAAAACAATGTATCACTGTGCCACCCTCTTTACTTTGCAAACTAGTGTGCCATTCAGTAATTCGAGTGTTTCTCCTACATGTACACCAACTAAAGAATATGACGGATGGTTTCACTTCCTCTCCCTAACAGAAACACATAAGTTATTTTATTGTGCATGAGAGCTCATCCTTTTTGGCAAAATATTACGAATTGTTAGCTACATCCCTGTGATGGTAACTGAGGCGTCCTTTTAACTCCATGCAATGATGTTAAGGATGCATGCTTTTAACATCACTGGAGCAGAGGCAAAAGGATAAACTGTTCACTTGTACTATTTCCTGCATTGCTAAAAGCTGGTTCCTGATATAAACACTGAATTTGTTGATCATATTTCTGCACAATGGTTGTCTGAATGCAGTTTTCAAACAATTTGAAGCCACTTACTTTAAGTGTTGTAGAAAGTGGACTGTGGCAATTTAAGTGAATCAATGGGAACATTCATGAGAGGCAACTCTTGAAGTACCATCCTACTGTCAATGAAATCTCTACAGCATTTTCTACCTCCTTGTATCCTATTGGGCAATCAGAACTTAACTATTCAATTAAACTCATGGCTGATGTTAAGTTTTCCAATTATCATCATACCATCCTCCAATGTGACTGCATGAATTCTATACATTAGATATCATTCATGAAGATGCATTATCCTTCATTTAACAGCTATCTCCCTTGGGTCTGATTTATTAACTAACACAGCCAGGCCAGTGGCTGTACAGCATCTCTCTCCAGTACAAAACCAGCTTTCTCTTCTCTGGAGGGCATCATCAATCAGTGTCTCTTTTTTGAGTCTATCTTTGAATAATTTCCCTTAGTAATAGATGGTTTCCAAAATTCATCTGTTTGTTGAAGCTTTGAACAAGCTGTCATGACCCCCTCATAAATGCTTGGTGCCAATAATTTTCTCTTCAATGAAATTTTTTGCAACTATTTTTACCTTAAATATGATATGTTAAAGTTATTCATAATTGGCATAAAAACATCTCATTAGTCCATTGATGAATTACTCATCAGCATTACTTACATCAGCAGAATGTAAGCCATTCTTAAGGCAAGGAGAGTAATTTTGAGCCCTGAATTGATATTATGTTTTACTTTTACTGCAGACCACTGATGATTTTGTAGTTTTTCTTTTTCTGTATATTTGCCTAAATTTTTTATTTAATTTCCAGAGTGCAAATAATATTTCTCCCTCTGATCAGTGAAAAAGTGTTTCAGCTTTCAAAGTGCAAATCTACTTTCTATTACTTAAGATTTAAGTCTAATAGTGATGGAAGTATGTTTCTTAATTCATACTGGATAACATGTTGTTAGGCTTGTTGATTTACCTGCAGAATTTTTGTTAAGGCTCTGAATCAGCTACTCCTTTATTTAAATGCAATGGTTCAGAATTTGGCATTCATAATTTGTACATTACTTATCAATACATAAATCATCCAGGAATTTGGGATAAGGAAGAGATAATCCATGATGTTCTAATCGTCACAAATTACTGGTCAATTGCTCCCTCCCCCCTCACCCTTTCACTAGCCTCACAAAAAAGCAGCTCCCTCCCATACTCCTCAAGTATGTATACAGTGTTGCAGCTGTGCATTAATGAATTATTAAATTCAGCACTACATTACAGCTTCTCCTTAACAGCATAAAGAACCTTTAATGACAAGATTACTATTAATGATTATATTTATGTTATTAAATAGTTATTTGTTATCACAGAACTTGAGTACTGCTGAAAAACGACACATTTTGTCGAAGGTTTATGTGTTGCACTCACCAGGAGAATTTGCAAGATTCCAATATTCACAACCTATTGTTCCATTTGAATACCTATTGATATTCTGTTCAATTGTCCCAATGAATACAAGACAAAAGCTTTGACAAAATGTGTTTTTTCTCTCATCAGTTCAAAAGATTTATGTTCTTACTCTGGTACTCAACCTCCCTGAAATGGGGAAGTCAATAAATGAAACTGTGAAGACTCAGTCCTGTTATTTTAAAATTCTTTTTATCAAATTTTCAAACTTACAATGCAATTCCTTCTTACTATACATTTGTGTCTGTTTGATAGTCGTTCTTCCCCTTCATTATTACTCTCTTTGTATAAGATTTGCCTCTAACGCACTCTATTTTCTCCCAGTCATTTCTTTGTTTCTTTTTCAATCCTTACATCTCATTGGTTAAAAAGCTGGACTGTAAGCCCCATGGTTCAGCAAGATCGCAGATTGTCTGTTTGATTCTTTGCACTGTATCAATTCATACTTCAATGTGGGGCACAAAGAATCATCAATCTGAAGACTGAAAGGAATAACTAATCGAGTACGGTACACTACAAAATGCCCAACTCCCACAAAATTAATATCAAGTTTTAAGTTTATTAGGGACTTCAGAACCTGCACCAAATGTACAAGAGACAAATTCTAAATAGCCATTTCCTAATTTTAACTTATATAAGATCAGCCACTTAATACACAGTCTTACCTTGCATTGTTTGTACCTGGTATTTTCTTTCCTTTCAGACAGAATTGAGCTAATCCAGAGATTAATACAACACGAAAGTTGCACATAGATGTTGATATTGATTTATATTTCCAATATTCACAGTCTAATGTTCCATTTGAACATTAACTGAAGAGGATTGTGTTATCTCAGGTGGAATCATGCAGTCGGTAGTAAGGGTAGCCTTGTAAGGGTGCTTAATTTTTGCTGCAGCCTTCCCACAGTGTTTTTCACAAAGTAAGTGCTAGCTTACCATGTCTCCTCCTAACATGCCACATGAGCAGTGGCTGTCAGTTTAGAGGAGACAGCTGTGCCTCACAAATCAAGATTTTGTAGCTCAGGTTTTGCAGTTTTTTTTTAATCTGTCTGAAGTTCAGTGGACAAAAATAAACGTGCCCCCTGAAATCCAGGGCAAATGTTAAATTCTTTCAATGTTAGCGTTGCTAACAAACCTACTAAGTTAGTTAAGATCATGTGTGACTTTCAATGTGCATAGATCTTGATATTAGACATTGACCTTTACAATATCTGAATGAGTAACGTAGCCTTTTGATGTATGATTTTGTCTCTGCTCTTGTTTATCTCTTGGGGTTAATGTATTTTGCAGAATTTCAATATTTTGGTTCGAATTATAACTGCCCCTATTAGGGAAAAGGACAGCATAAAAACAGGACAAGTTGGAAATGAATGTACCTGTCACACTGAAATACTGTTCTGAGGTATATAAAACAAGTCAGGGCAGTGTGTGCTATTTGTGAGTGTTATTGTTTTTCCTTCTGATTAAAATAAATGAGGTTGCAGAGGAATATGGAGGTAAAATTACAAGAGTAACTCACATCCGCCAAGCATGTTTCCTTCCTGCTGTGCCCAATGTTAACCAGCTCTTTTGAGCAGAAGAGCAGAACACCCACAGAAAGAAAGTGGGCAAGCTGTTCAAAACATGCGTGTCAAATCTACTGGTGTCATTAGGACCTCATCCACAATATCAGCCAGAGGCCAGTGAACTGAAGGCAGGGTGCACTCCCTTGTCAGGGAAAAACTGTGACAGAAGATCTCGGGACTGAAGGTGCTGAGACTGTAAAAGTGGTGAAGTGTATGCTCAGCTTCTCTTGTGGACGAGGAGGGATAGGATTGTATCACTGCCTTCATAAGGAAGCTTCAGTTGCAATGATTTACACCACTTTCATTGAGCATTGTCAGACCCCCACATCTGAAATCATGATCTGAGCTTCTCTACATCCTTTCTCCTTCCCTTGTCACTGTGGACCCAAGCTTAGCCCCTGCCTTCTTCCACCTCTCACTGCCAAACCAACTGCCAGGAACCATCCACATTGACCCCTGGCAATGGCCTCCTGCAACTTATTTTATGCGCCTGCCCACAGATCAGACTGCCAACCTGGCTCGCTTCAGCATTTATTTAAGTGGGGTTTTCCCATTGTGATCAGAAGGGCCTCAACATCTTTTGTTTTCCTGGGTTTAACATGAGCTGCGGCATAGCCCCCTCGCATTTTTCCTAGCTCCCCACCAATATTGTGGTGATCAAAACAAGACCAGTGTTCTGATACTGTTGAAACTTTGACTGGTATCATATACAGGCTGGACTACCCTTCCTATGTCTTGGAAATAAAAGAAAGAACATTAAAATAAGATTTTACAAATAAGATCAAGAAAATTCTTTCATGAAGTAACAAGCTGAGATATTCACCTTGTGGGCATATTCACTGAGTGAGATGAATGTTAAAGCTGAAATTCAGACTGCAAAACTATGTCTATGATGTAATTTAATTGAAACATTTCTCAAATCCAACAGATTTCATTTAAGTATTTATATAATTATCTTCACTGAGTTGACTATTTTCTTTCACAATGTAATCTCACAAATAAACAGAAATACCTAAATCCTCAGAAAATGACTGTATCCAAAAGACTTAATAACCAAACAACATTGATTTTTAAAATAAATTTAATCCCATTTGCTTTACTTCACTGGCTTGACTATAGTTTAATTAGTTTTACAATTCTGACTACTTGATTCCTATTAATCATACTGTACATAGAACCCCTACAGTGCAGAAAGAGCCCATTTGTGTTATTGAATCTGCACCAAACCTCCGAAGAGCATCCCACCCAGACCCACCCTCCTACCTTATTCCTGTAATCCTGCATTTTCTATGGCTAGTCCACCTAGCCTACACAGTCCTGGGACACTATGGACAATTTACCACGGCTAACCCACCAAAACTGTACATCTTCGGACTGTGAGAGGAAACCGTCACAGACACAGGGAGAACATGCAAACTCCGCACAGACAATCACCCAAAGCTGGAATCAAACCCGGGATCCTGGCACTGTGAGGCAGCAGTGCTAACCACTGAGCCACTGTTTTTCAATGTTCTTCCCAAATTCTCCAAATCACAATCTGCATTGGCACCTACTTCCTCAATGTTGTTAATATCCTGAATGTTTAATCATTAGTGTCAAATTCAACATCTATACTAGCAGTACACATTTTCAATGTGACTTTCTGCATTTTCAGTGTTTGTTCCAACATTAATTATTTCAACATAAGCCACATTAGAATTTAGACCATAGAACATAGAACAGTACAGGCCCTTGGGCCCACAATGTCGTGCCGACTTATTATCCTACTGAGATCAAACTACCCTGCGTACCCTACATTGTATTATCATCCATGTGCCTATCCAAGAGTCAGTTAAAAGTCTCTAAAGTATCTGACTCCGCTACCACTGCCGGCAGCGCATTCCACACGCCCACCACTCTCTGTATGAAGAACCTACCTCTGACATCTCCCCTACACCTTCCTCCAATCACCTTAAAAGTATGCCCCCTTGTAATAGTCATTTCCGATCTTGCTCAACTTTTCATTTTCTGATCTTTTGTTCAGAAAGTGCTTTGATTTTGTTATTATTTCCGCAAGCACATTTAATGGACCAGGAAGCTTAATTAATGGTGACAATAGTATCATCGGTGAAATTTGTCAACACGTTGAAGGAGTTAAATTCTTTTCCCCTTTGTCACAAGACAATACTTATGTCATATTCATAATAATGACAGGGATCATAGATAGAAACTTCCATAAAGAGTGTCAGACCAGGAAATTCATCTTTTCAGACTAAATCCATAACTGGAAGCATTTCCAGAAGAGAAATCTCTGGCATAAGAAACTGAGAAAACCCACTGGATCTTCTGATAATCAAACAGCCGATGGCTGTTGGTGGACTTTCTGCCTGAACTAGGACTTGGGACAAGGGAATCTGAGCTGCCAATTGCTGCCAGACAATCAAAAGTTGACAGCTTATTCAGCAGCGCACAGATAGGAGCTGTGGCTGCTCCCAAAGAATCACCTCCAGGAAAGGTAAGTGTTGTTCAGCAGGGATCTTGTGGAGTAGGGGAGATTGAGGCAAACAGTAGCAGAGAGTGGCTGTCAGCAGCCATCACATTGCCCTAGGTACAGCCCTCCAACTGTTTACAGATTAGAGCAGATTTAGGGCCTGCCCCTGTCAAGCACCTTTCCAAACTGACAGCCTGCCCACAGTGATTGACCAATAGGGTCAGTCAACCCTTCTCCATCCCACCTAGAACTGAGATCATTGCAACTCAAGTGGTATTAGGCTCTTAAATGATCATTAAATGACCATTTAAAGACTTCATTTAGTGTTGGGGTGGAAAGGTGAATCAGTATTGTTTCTTCAGGTAAGAATGGAAGTGACAGGGTCCTGGTAGATCATTATCCAACCTTAAGTTCACTTGCGCCCCCCAGACTGACACGTATATTCACAGAAAATTCCACCCTTGATTTCTTACTTGTAGCATTGGTTCTTTGTGTGTTCTGTTGCTCTGCATTAACTTCGTGCCTTCTTGCTCTAGCTTCTTCATCTTCCCTTTCTAATTATTGGCGGTCACTTTCTGTCACCATTTTGCTCTAATCTCTTCATCTTCCCTGCCTATTTTTGCCACCTGTAACTTTGCCTTACAAGTAATAGAGAGCCATGCCTCAGTACATAACTTAGCTGAAACAAATAAAATGTAAGAAAAGGAAACAAGTGAAACATGAAACATACTCCGGGGTTAATGAAGAAAATTCATTACATTCTTTCTTGGAATGTCTGGCTGATATGTTAAAGGATATCTAAGTTATGGTGTCAGTTGTGTTAATGTTTGGGCAAGGCCATGGGCTTCCCTATCAGGCAGCCAAAACCTTCCTGTTCAGGGTGGTTAGATATCAATACCCCTACAACATGATCGTTGGTGAAAGGTGTCTTCCACCAGTTTTGGTTGGAATTGCCCAAAGACACTTGAGGTGCTTGCCAGCAAACAGACAGAGGCATTTTGGTCTTCTATATAGATTTTCAATTCTTATCCTACAGTACTGATTATAAACAATTTTAAACAGTATATATCAAATATTTGTGCTATAGATTTATCAACTGGGGGTATTAGTGCGATGGATTAGATTCAGATGCATGAGAAATTGAAAATGCCATTGCTTACTCATTCAACACATCAAGTATCCCAGTTTCATCTTCCATTTTGGCTGTCAGCCTAAGTAATTTATTCCCACTCTTTCTGCATGAGAGCTAAGTTTAGCAAGTACCCCCTTGCAAAACTAAGTTAAAGCCTAGAGTTAGATTTCCAGGAGGGAAATCAATAAGCTCTTCTCTGCAAAAGGGTAATAAATATTTGGACATTTTTTAGGAACAGCAATTGATGCAAAATCGTACTTAATTTTAAATCTGCATTAATTTTGGTTAGCCAGAGCTATTGAGGAATTTAGGGCAAAGGCAAGCATATGAAACTAGTTCACAGATCAGCCATAAGTTCATTGAATTGCATATTGGTTCAAGGGATGAAAAGGGCCTGTTGCTTTATTTCGAATGAGAGTCTGTAGGTCCCCCACATATTCTGCTCAAAGTTAGCTGACCAAATGCAGACCAGATGTAAAGGTAATCTACCTCAGTAATATGTACAAAAAGAAGTTGTTTTGTTTTGTTTTTGTCTATTTTGGATGAGTGTTGTCTAGTTTTGCAGATCAGAATCTGGGAGAAATATCTCTGTTCCGCATATTTAGCTTGGATTTTTGTTTTGAACGTCACAGAGAAACTCACTTAGGGAATGTGCAGGAACCAGCTCACTGGAGGGTGAAGTCACAGTTGTTCTAAGCTGAGAATTTGGATGGACTAGGGTCCAGAGAAGGCTGAGTGTATGTACCTGGAAAGCTCAATGTTAAGGAAGCATCTAGCGTTAAAATGTTGAAGGACACTTCTTAGAGCTTGGGACCAATTCTTTCCACCATGGTACAGTAGTTTATCTCCATCAGTGTATATTTGGATCCTATCATGATACAGCACCTTATAGTAACATTACAGCTCAAACAGACTCTTGTCATAGCTTGAGTCTGCCCATGCGTGTTTGGCCTGTGTGATTTTTGCTTGGTATACCACTGCTCCAACAAGTTCCCAGTACGTCAAAATATACCATCAATATGATCTCCAGCAAATCAGTCAGATTGCTAATATGACATCCTAGGAGATTAGCAGAGACTCCACACAGCATGAAACTGCTTTCCTGTCTGACGATCTGTGTCATTCCATTAGCTCCTTTGCTGTTTTCTTCAGCCAGACTGCTGACACTGGGCTAAAATAGTGCAGTCTGCAGTCAGGCTATCTGGGCCAGAGCTGTTCCAAGTCATCCTCCTTGATCACTTGCAATCGCCTTCTTTGGAGATCAACAGCCTTCCACTTTCATGGCTCAGCCACTGAGAAAACCCCTCACAGTGTGTTAAGATAGACAAAAACACATGGAAGGGAGACACTAAAGAGAATGCACAAGGGTGATTACCCTGTGTTTGTGTGTGTTAGGTTACTTACGAATTTATAAATTGGAAGTGGAATGTGCATTTTCTTGTGGTTTATATTTTTGAGTCGTCAGACAGACATGACAAAATGCCCAATTACGTTTTTTCTCTTTCATGGGATGTGGGTGTAACTGGTAAAGCATGCATTCTTAATTTCCCTGGACAAAGTGGTAGCAAGCTGACTTCTTGAACCCTTGCATTCCGTGGGCCAGATTCAGCTACATGCCGTCCACACACCCCGTCCACACAATAACTCAGTTGTCCTCGTTTTTCAAGGACCGTAACTTCCCCACCTCGGTGGTTGAGAACGCCCTCAACCGTGTCTCCCACATCTCCCGCACCTCATCCCTCACACCCCGTCCACGCAATAAGAACCAAAAAAGAATCCCCCTCATCCTCACGTACCACCCCACCAACCTCTGGATCCAACGCATCATCCTCCGACACTTCCGCCATCTGCAATCCGACCCCACCACCAAAGACATCTTTCCCTCCCCACCCTCATCTGCTTTCCGGAGGGACAACTCTCTCCGTGACTCCCTTGTCCGCTCCACACTCCCCTCCATCCCCACCACACCCGGCACTTTTCCCTGCAACTGCAGGAAGTGCTACACCTGCCCCCATACCTCCTCCCTCACCCCCATCCCAGGCCCCAAGAAGACTTTCCACATCAAGCAGATGTTCATCTGCACATCTGCCAATGTGGTATACTGCATCCGCTGTACCCGGTGTGGCTTCCTCTACATCGGGGAAACCAAGCGGAGGCTCGGGGACCGCTTTGCAGAACACCTATGCTCGGTTCGCAATAAACAACTGCACCTCCCAGTCGCGAACCATTTCAACTCCCCCTCCCATTCCTCAGATGACATGTCCATTCTGGGCCTCCTGCAGTGCCACAACGATGCCACCCGAAGGTTGCAGGAACAGCAACTCATATTCCGCTTGGGAACCCTGCAGCCCAATGGTATCAATGTGGATTTCACAAGTTTCAAAATCTCCCCTCCCCCTACCACATCCCAAAACCAGTCCAGCTCGTCCCTGCCTCCCTAACCTGTTCTTCCTCCCACCTATCCCCTCCTCCCACCTCAAGCCGCACCTCCATCTCCTACCGACCAACCTCATCCCGCCCCCTTGACCTGTCCGTCCTCCCTGGACTGACCTATCCCCTTCCTAACTCCCTACCTACACTCACCTTTACTGGCCCCATCCCCACCTCTTCGACCTGTTTGTTTCCTCTCCACCTATCCTCTCCTCTATCCCTCTTCTATCCGCCTCCCACTCTCTCCCTATTTATTTCAGAACCCCCTTCCCCTCCCCCTTTTCTGATGAAGGGTCTAGGCCCGAAACATCAGCCTCTCTGCTCCTATGATGCTGCTTGGCCTGCTGTGTTCATCCAGCCCTGCACCTTGTTGTCTCAGCTACAAACTGTTTGGAAAGGAGTTCCAGGATTTTTACCTAGTGACATGGAAGGAATGACAATGTAGTTCCAAGTCTGGATGGTATGTGGCTTGGAGGGGTACTTGTGAGTGTGGTGTTCCTATGAATCTGCTGCCCTTGTCCTACACAGGTAGTGGATTTGGGAGATGCTGTTAAAGAAGCTTTGTTCAACTGAGGCAACACATCATGCAGATGCTAGAGTCTGCTGCAACTGTGCATCAATGATGAAGGGGGTAAATATTGAAGGTGTGTAACAGACAGTCAATCAACTGGACTGCTCTGTCCTGGTTGATGTTGAAGTTACAATTATCCAGACAAATGTAGAATATTCCATCACACACCTGACTTGTGCCTAGTAAATGGTGGACAGTCTGTGGGGTGTCAGGATGTGAATTACACACGGCAGGATTCCTATCCTCTTATCGATACAGTATTTATATGGCTGGTCTAGTTCAGTTTTGGACCAGAGGTATTCCCAACATTCTTGGGAATGGTCATTGCCTGGCACTTCTGTGCTGCAAAGGTCACTTGCCACTTTTCAGCTCAAGGCTAGACATTATACAGGTCTTGCTGCATATGGGGATGTACTGCTTCAGTATCTGAAGAGTCACAAATGGTGCTGAATGTTGTGGAGTCTGTGTCCATCTCAATTCTGACATTCCGATGGAAGGAAGCTCATTGGGGAAGCAGCTGAATAGTTGGGCTGAGGACACTACTGTGAGGAACATCTGCAATGATGCCTGTTTCTGAAATGATGGACTTCCAAAAATCATAACCATCTTCCTTCAAGATAAGTATGGCTCCAACCAAAGTAGATGTTTCCCCCAATTCCCATAGAGTCTAGTTTTGCCAGGGCACTTGGATACCACACTCAGTCAAATGCTGCCTTGATGTCAACAGCAGTTATTTCCACCTTGCCTCTGGAGCTCAGCTGTTTCATTTATATTTGGACCAAGGCTTTAATGAGGTCAGGAACCAAGTGGTTGTGTCAAAACTAAAGCCAAGTGTTAGTGAACAGGGTAAGCTGAGCAATTGCCGCTCAATAGCACTGTAGTCAATATTGCCTATCATTTTGCTTAAAATGAAGAATAGACTGATAGGGCAGTAACTGCTTATGTTGAAACTGTCCTGCCTTATTTTCACAAAAAGTGCCTGGGCAATTTTGCTCATTGTTGAGTAGATGCCAGTTCTGTAACTGTATCTGAACAACTTGGCTAGGAGTGTGCTAAATTCTGGAGCACACACCTTTAGTACTATTGTGAGAATGGTGTCATGTCCCAGAGCCTTTGCAGTATCCGGCACCTTCAGCCATTTCTTGATTGTGGCTGAATACAATTCTGCTGATGATGACTAACAGTGCCTCATGGATACCCAGTTCTAAGTTGCTAGATTTCTGCAAAATCTATCTCATTTGGTATGGTAGTAATGCCACACATCACAATGGAGGGCATCCTCATTGTGCAGATCGGAGTTTGTCCCCACAAGGGCTGTGTAGTGATCACACCTACCAGTGAAGTCATGGACAGGTATTGCTGGGTAAGTGGGGACAAGGTCAAGTATGCTTTTCCCTCATGTTGATTCCCTC